CCGCATCTTCTCAATCTCGTTAATGAAAAGAATGCAAAAACAATAAAACCTTTTATATTTATGACATCATTATGTCCCTTCGGGTTGATTACATGTAATTCTGCTAGTTCAGGTACGTGGTTGAATCTATGTAATGTAAAAAGAATTACATTTTGTAATGCTGATTACATTAAGTAGCAGTATTGGGATTACGAGACTCATGAAATGAAATGCACACTTTTTGTAATCAAGTAGGAAAGTCATTATTATATTGTCTTTATTTTTAAATTGACCAAATTAGACTTAATAAAAGACGCATAACTGGAAAACCCAATCGCCTGCAGCAAATTGACCAAATGAGATTTGGTCATTTACTCCATTCTTATTAGTTGATGAAGAAATGAGAATAATGTTCTTATTGAATCGATAAGAATTTCATTAAGAAAGAGATAAGAATTCGTTAATAATGAGATCATTATTAATTAACGAATTACTAAGAACATTATTAACGAGGAGATAAGAAGTTATTAATAACTGGATTCTGTTACAAATATAGGGAATGGGGTAACTAATTCCAACTTTTAGGAGGAATTATATGTCTATATTTAACATGATTATATATAGGATGAAGGCAAATTTGTTTCTTCTACTTGTTTTTATATAACATGTATGTCTATTGATCCTTATTATTGAGAAACATAAACTGTAGAAGTGTAAAGATGAGAATGAAGGTGGCTCAAGTGTTGCATATGAAAGGTGGCACTACAGAAGCAAGCTATTCAAACAATTCTTTATATCAGGTATCTACATATCTAACTTCATTCAATCCTTTCTAAAACTCTAATTTGCATGCATTGATTCCATTATAACCAATAGGAAGATTAAGGTCCAATTCAGTTCCGAAAGTTTTCACATAGAAATTGTGGGTATTTGAAAGTTTTCTTAGGATCAAAATCATTCTGGAAGAGTTAACTAAAAGATGACAAATTAGTCGCCCTAACCATTATAAAACTAACATTGAATGCTACCATTTTTAGTGGCCAGGGATGGAATTGCTTCCTTTTAAAACTTCCGGGGTGATAGTGATTCAAGAAAAAAGCCTTTTGAATATCCACGGTCCCTATGTGAAGACTTTTAGGACAAAATTGGATACCAACCCTAAAATATAATACTATGTATACTTACTAAAAGATGGGTGTGTGTGTGTGTGTGTGTGGATAGCAAAAGGTGATTTCTTCAACAAAGCCCATAAGAGACGAAGTTATAACTTGCTTATATAAAGAAACAATCCCTCGAAGCTTAGCAGTTGCAGACTTGGGTTGCTCATCTGGGCCAAACACTTTCTCTGTGATTTATGAATTGATTGAAACTGTGGAGAAGCTTTGCAGAGACCTAAACCATGAATCCCCAGAATACATTACCTTCTTAAATGACCTACCAAGCAATGACTTCAACACAGTCTTCAAGTCTCTTGAAAGCTTTAAACAAAAGCTAAGTAAGGAAATGGTAGGTGGGAAGCAGACTGGTCCATGTTACATCGCTGGAGTTCCTGGTTCTTTCTATGGCAGGATTTTTCCTACTAAATCTTTGCACTTTGTTCATTCCTCCTATAGTCTTCATTGGATGTCTCAGGTATATACATTTTATTCCTTTGAGCTTGTATTTAGTGGATAATAATTGTCGATATTATTAAATTAATTGGTGAGCGGGGTGATTACATTAATTCAATAATTGTAGGTACCTGAGGGTGTAGAGAATAATAAGGGCAACGTTTGTATGACAAGAACAAGCCCTTTAAATGTGTGCAATTCTTACTACCATCAATTTCAAAGAGATTTCTCAATGTTTCTTAAGTATCGTGCTCAAGAAGTAGTTGAAGGGGGTCATATGGTACTTACACTCTTGGGAAGAAGCAGTGGTGATCCATCAATGGAAAAATCTTGCCACATTTGGGACATTGTTGCTGAAGCACTTAATCAAATGGTCTTGGAGGTACCCATATACATACTCTAGCATGTCGTCTTGTTAATTATTCTGTTCTTTACTAAATGTGGGAGTTAGATAACTACTCCCTCAAGTCTTAGATATAAGTAACAACTAACCAAATTATGTAAGTAAACGTGTGACACACACACATATATGTTTTCAAATTCAGATGAAAATAGGGGACAAAAATGGGCTTTTTTTTTAAAAAAAAAATAGTAGTGCTTATGTATGATGATAATGAGTGAAAAAGAATGAGTGTGAAACAGATAAGAGAGAATGAGTAGAAAAAAGTGAAACTAATAAGGATTGAGTCTAGTAGAAGAAGCTAATCTCTCACAATATGACGAATCAAAGTTTGAATTTCTGCTGAGAGAGGCAGTAATATTTAGTGCCCAATAATGCTTCTAATAGGATTGCCTTTAATAGAAGGATAGATATGTTTAGCAAAAAAATGAAAAAAAAATTACATTAAATTTACGAATACAAAATGTTACTTAGATAAATTACCAGCCATATATAGGAGAATGTTATTTATACATAAGATTGGAGTGAGTGATTTATATAGATTAAAAAAGTTAGTTAACTTAATATTTATAAAGAAATGTGTTAGTTTTTCTAAAGTATTACTTTTAATAATTTGCGCATTTAAACTACTCCCCTAATGGGAAAAACATCTTAATGTGTGGAATTAATAGGAAGAGGGGATTATAAATTTGAACGATAAAGTAAATCTAGAACAAAACAAATCCCTCTAAACCTTTCATTTAGAACAGGAGAATGCAACAATTTTCTTTGAAATGCAAATTCTAAAAGAAAACGATGGAGATTAATGATAGTGCAATTTGTTTTGATGTGATGCAATGAAGAGAATAATAAAGGAAGATCAAATGGATTCATTCAACGTTCCTTTCTATACTCCGTCCGCATCTGAATTGGAATCAGAGGTTAAGAAAGAAGGGTCCTTCGCTATTAATCACTTGGAGGCATTTGAAACAAGTTGGGAGGCTGCTTGTGATAAGAAACGTAATGACAGTAAAGAGTACCAAATTACACAATTCATAAGAGCTGTCGCTGAACCTTTGGTTATGAACCACTTTGGAGAATCCATAATGGATGATGTTTTTGAACACTGCCAAGATATATTAGCAGATCGTATGTCTAAGGGAGACCTTGTCCATGTCAGTCTCTGCATATCTTTGACTAGAACAAGTTGAAGAAGGAGCAACACACACACACATGTTTCTATAACACACCAGATCTCATTAAAACTTTACAGTTAAACATACTTGGACGATTAAGATGCGTGACATCTTAGGAAGTCCTTCTGGTGTGGGAAAAAAAATACAAGATTTTTCTACAATAAATATTGACATTGTGTTTAATCAACATATAGTGCTGTGCCCTAGTAATGTCTATGATGTTATAAGATTTTGGGACTTTCCAAATTTATTTTTTGATTGATAGCAGTTCATTTGGGGAGTTGACATGATGAAAAAAACCATCAATTAAGCCAAGAGTAAAAGAGATGATTAATGGCATATTTAAAAAATGACTCATTAATGTTTTACTAAATTTGATAAAGAACTTTTGTAGTATTAAGAGCCAATGATTATAAGATTAAGACCATAAGAAATACTATCAAGCTGACGCTCAAAATAATCCAAGTTTCAGAGAAGTAATTATGCAATATAATCCAAAATTAATTAATATGTTTGTGAGATGGGTTCAGTTACTAAAAATGTAAGGAGGTTAAATTTTTTATTTTTATTTAACACATTTAATCTTTGATTTTACTCACAAAATTTTATTTGATCCATTGTCATTTCAAGCAAGCACTTAACGAGGAAAAGGGAGTTGCCTGCTGGCTGAGCAGTGGCATGACATTGTTTAAAACACCAATACGCATTAATTTGATTAATGGACACTCAGTTGCAGTTTACGAATCTCTTATTGCAACCTGAATTCCCCTCTCTGGCCTTTTTCAATATTCCCACGGTACCTTCCTTTACTTTCTTTTCACACACAAATATATTAAAATCAATAAGATACTATCTCGGGTACTAATTGTAAGATCTTATTTGGAGACTATAAACAAGATCTGATAATTAAGATCGGAGATAGTAGCATGTTAATATTAATAAAATCATCAGTTAAAATCTCTATAAGAAAATATTTTGAGAAAATGGCAATTAGGTCCCACTCAAGGGAATTAATACAAAAAAGTCTTTTGAAATCATGAAATTATTTTAAAGTCTCAAAATTTTTTTTGCATTAAATTTTATTTGTTTACTTATCAAATTACCCTTCTTTTTTTTATTTTAAGTTTTGCAATGACAACTGAAAGAGCAGTGGTTGACAACTCAGGGTACAAGGATTGACAACTATCGCGGCTAATTTGACAACTTATGGTGTGATATGTTGAGAAAATGTGTTGTCAAACCAGCCGCGATAGTTGTCAATCCTTGCACCCTGAGTTGTCAACCACTGCTCTTTCAGTTGTCAATAACAAAGTTTTTTAAAAAAAGAAGAAGGGTAATTTGGTAACTAAACAAATAAAATTTATTGCAAAAAGGTCTCTTAGGACTTCAGAATAATTTCATGATTTCAAAGGACCTTTTTGTATTTAATACCTTTAAGTGGGACCTAATTGCAATTCTCCCAAATATTTTACCGTATATAAGTGATGTAGAATCATGAATAATTAATAAAATAATAATGATAAAGTTGTGCGTATAAAATTCATTCTCTTTATTTTAAAATCTGTCCTGCTCCATTTCCTTATTTTAAAATTCCTCCCCTCACTTTTGGGAACCAAACACACCACCCCATTAATTATTATTATTATTATTATTTAATCCTGGCCAAAAAAATTACAAAAAGGGTTCACTAGCATCACAATCATATCACAAAAAATAGTGATTCGCTGGTGATTAAACGTGTGACAGAGTGCCTTCTTCATTCACCCGCCGCCCACCGCCCACCGCTCTTCTAAGTTCTCATTAATGTCGCCCATTGTGCTCTTCTAAGTCTTCATCACCGCCGCCCAGATCCGCATCGTCATCTGGAGAAGATAGGTAAGCTTCCATTCTTCCGTACCCGCTGATTTCTTATTCTTTAAACCCGTCCTTCGTCCACATTGTTGCTCTTTCCCGGTGCGGTGCGTGAGTCTCTCCCTTGATCCCTCTCCCTCTCTCTCTCAACTCTCAAGTTTTCAAGCTCTCGGTGAAGCTACCCAGTACCAATTTTTCTATATAGATTGATTCTGTTTGATATAAGAAGTAATCTTTATTTTCCATTTGCACGGCTATATTTCATAGCTTCTTGCCTATAATTGAATACAATAACATTTTTCAGCTGTTGGAAATAACATGCTTACTAATGCGTTATATCAAACTCATAATTCTCCATGTTCGTTTAGGTGGTCCCTAGTTATATTTCATTTCTTGTTGGGTCTACTTATTCTGATGTGTCTGTTAAGTTCTTTACCTTTTCCCCATTTTTTACATTACTGCCTGTTAGAATTATTACATTGCTTCATGTCCTGACTTGTTGATAATGGAGAAGGGCTGAAGATTAATTAGCATTTCTAAGCAACTTGCATTGCTCAAAATGTTAAGTGATAAAGTTTCTCGCAGAATTTTCTAAGAGAATATTTCCCGCGGGGGGTTCCGAGAGAACAAACTTTTTTCTATGGGTTTCTTCTCTTATTGTATTTGTGAAAAAATCTGAGGAAAAATTAATTCGTCTCGGGTTCCCTAAGTTGTCTCAAATTTTTCTGAGAAAAAACTTGTTTTCTCGCGTAGAATTTAAAACCGATCAGACCGGCCGGCAACACAAACTGGCAGTGGGCCGACTTGGGGTGACTCGGTATAACTCGTGAGAAACCTAGCTAACTCAATTGGTTTGGTGGGTTAACCCAGTTGTGTGTTTTTAAAGTTGTTTCAATGCTAAAAAAATATTAGTTCAGTGACTAAATGATTGTTGACAGAAATATTTTGTTACCATAAATCTATTTTATTTTTGCTAGAATGAATATTTAGTGATTTTAATAGTATGATACTATGACGTCAATTTGTCAAGGGAATAGTATGGAAAATTGGAAAGAAAATGTAAATATGATTATTTTGTTAGAGATTCAAAGTATTAAATTGATATTTAGTCTTTTGGATGACATGATAAGAATTTAAATTAATTTTTAATTTTTTTTTATTCCTCACAAGTACTTGACTCTTGGGTTGACTTCAATCTAACCCACTAACCTTTAATCCGCTGTCTCAATTGGTTCAGAGGCTATTCCGGTTTTCAATATCTTGTTCTCTTGTAGAGTGCCTCAACCAAAATTGTTGCCGCAATTTTGGTACCAACTTTTATGGTTGAGTGATGCTTCTTAAATTTTGTAGTGTTCTGGGGAGCATTTGCTTTTTCTAACATCATATCCAGATTTCCTATCAATATTCAAAATATTTGTCTTGACTTTTTCTTAATACTCACTTTCTTCTATCGTAACTATGGTGAATGAATTTGTCAATTTTAAACGTTAGATTTCAGTATCTCACAGGAATTGGAGGAAAATGTAACTTAAGGTGTTCATTTGATATATTCATATCAAACTTTCTAAATACTGTCTCCAATCATTCGTTGGCACTTAATTGGATATTGTTTCTAGTATGAAGGTGCCAATATATTTTGGTATAATGTTTATACGTAGGTTATGCAGAAAGTGTACTTTCTATGCTACTATTTTGGTTTAACTGACAGTTACGTTATTTGTTTTATCTAAGTAAATTTAAAACAAAGTTGCTAGTATATATGACCCTCCAATATATGTCCAAAGTGAAAACCCTCCTTAATTGACATCCCTTCCTGCAGTAGTGACTTCACCCAGTTCCTTCCCAAAACCATGAACCATAATACAAGACACCATGGAATAACACAAATTATAATTATATATTATCAAGTCAACTTGCAGGCATAGACCAACTTTCTGAAAACCCAAACACAACGTAGCAGGAGCTCTTATGTTATACGTCTTCTATCCCAGTTACCTCAACAAGCTCAAGGAGCCCATGGTTGTCTGGCTTATGAAAAATTAGTGAAGATTCCAATGCTCAGAATAGTTTCTTTCCTTCTTGTTGAGATAAAGATTTGATGGAAAATTGTAACTGCCAACTAGTTCCCAAATGTGGAATGCACAAGTAACTCTCGCATAGGGTTCAGCACGCTAGAAGTTGATGGTTCGGTTCTACTGGATGGCCGCAGTGGATATGGGGGAGTCGTGATAGTGAGGGAAGGTGAATTAGTGGTTTCAGCTCGAGCCTCACATCAGTTCGACAGTTCCTCCTGCTATTGTGAAACTATGAGTGATCATGAATGGTCTTCATCTGTGTCGATCAAAAGGTCTTGAAAACATAGTTGTGTATTCTGATTCTATAGAAGCCATTAATCTGGTTACTAGAGGGTGTGTCAGTAAATATCCTTTTAGGTATATTTTGGATGAGTCTAGATTGTTTATTCATAGGGATTGGCAGGCTTTGTTAAGACACAGTCTGAGTGATAACCTTACTTTTGCTGACTATTTAGTTAAGGCCTTCCGTTCTCTCACATGAAAGGTAATTTTTGTGTCTTTGATCAATCCCCACCTATTAGTCTAGAGGTGGGTTTTGGTGAAGTAAGCTTGCTCTTGTTGTTTTGCTTTGTACTTGCTTAGTTAGTGAATGGTATTCAGTAATTTATTAAAAAGTTCAGTTTTTAAGAAGAAATAACTATTTAACATGATTATAGGCCAAAGCCGAAAGTGGGGACTCGTATTTTTTCTTCATAACATGCATGTGGGTTATTGATCCTTATTATTGAGAAACATAATTGTAGAATTATTCATCTGAGAATGGATGTTGCTCAAGTGTTGCACATGAATGGAGGCATTGGAGAAACAAGCTATGCAAACAATTCTTTATTACAGGTATATATCTACCTTTGTCCAGTCCTTTCTGACATCCCAATTACATGCACGCTTCAATTAGGGTATATGAAAGTTCTATAATATCATGTATGTTAACTAATAAAATAACATACACAATCAATGTGGATAGAGAAAGGCGGTTTCTTTGACAAAGCCCATAAGAGATGAAGCTATTCAGTGCTTCTACAGAGAAACATTCCCTCGAAGCCTAGCAATTGCAGAATTGGGTTGTTCTTCTGGACCAAACACTTTCTTTGTCACTTGCGAACTGATTGAAACTGTGGAGAAGCTTTGCAGAGACCTAAACCACAGATCTCCAGAATATACGATCTTCTTGAATGATCTACCAAGCAATGACTTTAACAACATCTTCAAGTCTATTGAAAGCTTCAAACAGAAGCTAAGAGGAGTGGCAGGTGGGTTTGGTCCATGTTACATCGCCGGAGTTCCTGGTTCTTTCTATGGCAGGATTTTTCCTACAAATTCTTTACATTTTGTTCATTCCTCCTATGGTCTTCAATGGATGTCTCAGGTATATATAATTAACTTTTTCTTTTAAATAATATTGAATAATTAGTTGTTTATACTTGCAGATTAATTAAATTGGAATTCACTGATGGTTGTATGTGATAATTAATTGTAGGTTCCTGCGGGCGTAGAGAATAATAAGGGCAACATTTATATGACAAGCACAAGCCCTTTAAATGTGTGGAATGCTTACTACCATCAATTTCAGAGAGATTTCTCAATGTTTCTCAAGTGTCGTGCTCAAGAAGTAGTTGAAGGGGGTTATATGGTACTTACCCTCTTGGGAAGAAGAAGCAATAATGACCCATCGATGAATAAATCTTGCCTCATCTGGGACATCGTGGCTGAAGCACTTAATCACATGGTCTTAGAGGTACATATATTTATACTCTAATTATATATGTCATATTTACTTTTTGATTAACAATATTCTTTGAAATGCACATACTAAAAGAAAATGATACAGATTCATGATAGAGCAATTTGTTTTGATGTGAAATGAAGGGAATAATAAGGGAAGATCAAATGGATTCATTCAATATTCCTTTATATACTCCGTCCTCATCTGAATTGGAATTAGAGGTTGTAAAAGAAGGGTCCTTCACTGCTAATCACTTAGAGGTATTCGAAACAAGTTGGGAGGATGCTTATGATGAGAAACGTAATGACAGTAAAGAATACCAAATTACACAATTCATGAGAGCTGTGGCTGAACCTTTGCTTGTGACCCACTTTGGCGAAGCTGTAATGGACGATGTTTTCCGACATTGCCAAGACATATTAGCAGATCGCATGTCTAAGGGAAACCTTGTCCATATCAGTCTCTGCATATCTTTGACCAGAACAAGTTGAACAAGCAACATATAAACATATGTTTGTACAGTACGTTGACAGTGTTGTGAATATACCGTTTGTCGGCTTGATATTGTGTATGCTTGGTTTTAAACAGTCCTTGTGTTTAACCAGCATTGTATATATCCTAGTAATATGCAATGTCTATGATGTTGTAAGATTTTTCTTGTGTGATAAGATTTTTCTCGTGTCGACTAATGTATCGTTCCAGAAAAATAAGCCTGATACTAGGTATTTCAAAGCAATGGAATTCTACTTCTTTGTAAGATCACCGGAAGAAGCTTTTCTCAGTGTATTTGCGGTATGTTATCATCTCGCGGTTTTAAGTGCTCTTTGCTCGGTCAAACAGAAATTAAAAAAATGAGCTTGCTATTAATACTTATTTCACATTTATGAATAGAACAACCTCTAATACTTGATTTGTCCTTGCTTGTTCATTATCTGATATCACTAGGAAATGTTACTATCGTCCCCCCCCCCCCCCCAAAAAAAATAAAAGGCCTCATAAAACACACGGAAGCTAACTTGCTACTAGAAGCTTAGAATTCAAATATTTGAAGAGAATGGTTTTGTAATCTGCGGGGAAAATATCCATGATGACAACTTAAATATCCATTTGTTGACCTCAGTGTGTCAAACGCTAAAGAGAACATTTTATGAAAATTATTGAGTGAGATCTTTCAATTAATAATATATCCAAAAAATCAACCTTGAATAGAGTTTAATGGCGTCATGTGATCTATATAGCTGACCTCATCTAGTAGGATAAGAATTTGTTGTTGTTGAACTTGTTAGGTCAAAAATCACTGTAATGATTAGCTTCTTTTAATATGAGGTCAAATGTGACAATCCAATTGCGTATTTTTCTTAGCCAGCCATTAAGAGGTTGAGCTGTAAAACTTATGCGAAAACAGCAATTTTGCAGTAATTATGGTTCCAACTAAAACAAAAACCTTCATGAATTCATATAATCTCTGCAACTGTATGAGGAGTGTATCCTAATTTTTTTGATGTTCCATATTCCCCTGCTGTCCTGGAGTAAGCCGCCGCAAGTAGTTTTACCATTTTAAAGCAAAGAGTGATATCTGTAGGATGGGTTGAGGATGTTTTTCAAGAGATAGGCCTTGAGAGTTCTTTGAGTAAATCTTTCTCAGAGTTAGGCTCCTGAGAATAACTTTACTACATCTGTCCTTCCATATGCCCAATAACATAAACAAATTAAAGAGCTTTTGCCGGGGTATTTTTCAGGTGGATTGATTCCCTACTTCATGCTTTGAGTTCTAGATAATCCAGTCCTGCTTAGGCCAGGAGAAAAAATTAGTAAGGTCTTGATGCTTTTGCTTCCCTTCCCAATTCTCCAACCTGCATTCTTCATAACATTTTCCTAGCATCATCATCATCATCATTTCAAGGCTAAGCAACCAGGCTTGGTTGTGTTCAGAATTGAGACCCTTTTTTTTTTTTTTGGTATCGTTGATACCTGATTTACGCTGAGTAACCCAAGAAATTTATGAATTATTCATTAATATCAGTCATATATACGCCACTTTGTTTTCTGCAATTTTTACCCTTATTTTAGGTGGTTAATTTTTCCCTTATATTTAAACTCTGAAGTTTACATAGAGCTATTTTGCTTTCTTCCTGGCCGAAACTGGGATAAAACATTGCAGATCTTGCACCCTTTGAAACATCAAATAGATAAAGGAATTCCTAAAATGGCAATCGAAACATCAAATTGATTTTTCATATATATATATATATATTAATTTTACTTAATTTTCAAATTAATAGTTAATATACAAAACATGTTCTTATGCAAATTTGGCTTGAAAGTTTTTACCCAGAAACTTTGGGCACCTGAAAATTTTTTTAAGTAAAAATTTGTTCTGGAAGTTTAAATTCGTAGCAATATTATCCATTTATCTATATGACCTATAAACCTTTTAGTGACTTTATGATTGGTCCGTGTGGATATTGTAGATTTTTTTTAAAAAAAATATTGTTTTCTTCCTATTGGTTGACGGGGGTATTTTCCTAAAAAAAGTTATTTTGTTTTCATTTATGGTCTATCCGTTTTTAGTCCGTGCACCTGACTGGGTTAGTTGTTTTGTTTTCATTTATGTTCTATTTTTTGTTGTTGTCGATTTTCCACTCTTCTTGGGTCTATAAATATATGAGTTTGGGCATATGATCCCCCCGCTCCCGGTTGGTACATGTATTTGCTTTGGACGTTTTGTTTTCATTTGTTGGGAGCCTTTCCATTTCCCTTTGTATTGGACGGGTGGATTTTCATTGGTTTTTGCGTTGGTGACTATATAAATATAAAGTTGTTGGTGGGCTTTTTTGCTGTCCCTTTTGCACTATTTCATGTGAATCTATTTTTGTTTTGTCTTTTGGTTTTTGCTATTCGGTATTGACTGTTTCCTTTTTTTTCTTTGCTGCAGAGGGTTATCTAGAAGAACGGATTGCTCTATGGAGATTTCTTTGGCGTTGATGAGGTCAGGGTGCCGTGATAAACATCTCTGTGTGTCTGTTGTGAGTGTGTATGATGACATGGTTTGGCTTTTACAGAAGTTAGGTGAGGTCTTTGAATTTTATTCTCATGAATAGGCAGGTACGTATGAATCTCTGACTTCTTGGGGTTTGTTTGTATGTTCTTTCTTCTTGTCGTCGATTGTTAACCTCCACCCGTATTCATTTTTTGGGGTGTTTTTTGGAAGCTATCGAAGATCCATGTTGCAGTTCTGGCGGACGACCAATTGGATGGGTTTGGGTTGATTGTTACTTTGTTAGAAAGGTGATAGATATAGGAATGTATTTTTAACACACTATATGCATGAGAATAACATCGGAGTAAGGAAATTAACAAACTCGACATTTACTTATATACGTTTTTGACTATTTTATCCTATCTATAACCTAGCTAATGGCCTTCAAAAATCTCTGGTTTTTACTTTAATTAATTATTAAATCAAGTAGGACTGTTTAAGTCACAAAATTTTCAGTTTCATCCCTTTTGAATATGTTAAATGCTGGATAAAATTAATTTATAATTTTTGTTATGTATATTAACAGATATTAAAAAAACTTACCGTTTTCACTTAAGAATCATTAAATATTACTTTTACTAATTCATTAGTATCAAAGACTTGGCGGTTACGTTGTGCTGGAGTTTGCAAGGATGGGTTTTAAGGGAATTTATTTCTTCGTTTATTTTTCCTTCCCTTCCGTGGAGTTTTATATGAAAAAAAATGGGGTTAACATTTAGCGTTATAGCACATAAATCCATCTAATTAGGTTAGTTATCAAGAAAGAAGGCCAAACATGCATGGATATCACCAACGTCACTAATTAGGTTAGTTATTTTGTTTTTAGCTAAAATAAATTAACTAGAATTCGAAGAACAAAATAGAATTCTTAAATTCATTCTAATTCTTTAATCTTTTTTTTTGGCCATATTCTTTAATCTAATTTTATCAGTTTGATGTAAAATAAAAATAGTAAAAATAGAAATGCAATTCATCATAAAATTGAATAGACAATCTAGAGCACAAATTCTTTCTTCCAAGCAAAACTATAAAAAGGGGGGGGGGGAAGAATTGTGCCCAAAAAAAAAGAAGCATTCATTGTCTATTGGATACAAGAGAGTTCTTCTAAGGGTGTGTTTGGATGAAACCAAACCGTGGTTTGGAAAAGTGATTCTGGAGAATAGATTCTGGGGAAAATAGATTTTGTGAAGAATAGATTCTGTAAAAAAGTGATTCTGAGAAATGAGAGTGTTTGGATAGTTGTTATCAGAAGCACTTTTTATATATACAAATTACTAAAAAAAAGACATAAGTTGATATGATAATTACAGAAAAAATAGATTTTATGATATATTTTAATTTGAAGGAATAAAATTGTTAATAATATGTTTTTTACCAATATAATTAATAATACATAAGATAATATAATTAATAAATAATTAATGTGTATATATATTTATAAAATATAAAATTAAATATGTTTATAAAAAAATATGTTTATAAAAAAAATAACAAGATACATATCCTATAAGTTTTCACACTCTCTCTTTTTTCTCTAAAAGCAAAAAATTTCTGCTTTTTTCAAAACCATGGTTTTGGTTCAAAACCACGGTTTGCCCAAAACCAGTGGGTGTTTGGGTGACTTATCACAAAAACCATGGTTTGGGTCCCCAAACCATGGTTTGGGGTGTCACCCAAACGGGGCCTAAACCTTTGACATAGATTCAAATCCTATTTGATGCTACAAGAAGATTCGCTCGATGGCCGTGGCTCAAAATCTTTGGAAGCTTCTGTTGGCTCATCTGGAAGAAAAGATGTAGGAAGGCCCTAGAAAGAACGCACGACCAAGCAAGTGAAGTAGTCAACAAAGGCGTTCACTACTTTATGGAGGAGACGACAAATAGCAGGTATAGACATAAAATATACCAAGTGCCTGAGAGGAAAGACTGCAAGTGGACGAGACCGAAGGAGGGATATGTCCGAATTGATGTTGATGGTTCAGTAGATAGCAGGAGAAATGCAGCATGCGGGGGAGTCGTTAGGAACGATCAGGGCAGTTGGGTGTGTGGATTCCAACAAAATCTAGGCTTTCTTCCATCCACAACTGCGGAACTGCAAGCCATTTGCATAGGTTTTTGAGTTGCCAAACAACTGGGATTTAAGAAAGCGCAACTTTTTGCAGACTCAATACAAGCTTTTCAACTCTTGATGAATGATAGTGGGAGCTTCCGCCCAGCACGCGATATGATCGACGAAGTGAGGTCGCTGATTTTCTCCAATTGGGATCTTGAGATTTCTTTCTCACACAGAGAAGCGTTAAAATGCGCTGACCTTATTGCCAAGAAGGCCCACCAGTCCAACTTTTCAACCACAATGCTTCAAGACCCTCCTCCTGATTGTCTTGAGCTCTTAGGGTATGTTTGGATAAAACCAATTCATTGTTTGGAGAATAACTTCTGGAAAATAGATTCTGGAGAGAATAGATTTTATGAAAAAATGATTCTGAGAAGTGAGAGTGTTTGGATAATTGTTACCAGAAGCACTTTTTATATGTGCAAATTACTAAAAAGGGCATAAATTAATATTATAATTATATAAGGGATAGATTTTATAATATATTTTGATTTGAAGAAATAAAATTGTTAATAAAATAATTTTTACTAACATAATTAATAATATATAAGATAATATAACTAATAAATAATTAATATGTGTATATATATTTATAAATTATAAGA